GACAAAGGCGCAGTTGGCGCCGTTGCATGTCCCGGCAAGGGTCACCTCTCATCGACCAGCGGCATCATCCGATCAACTTCCATTTGCTTTTGACCCCTAGGAACAATCAAAAAAACATATTTCCAATCGTGAATTCGATTCTTTAAAACCAACAGGGGAAAATAATAATAACAAACAAAAAACAAATGGAAGTTCCATTAGTGATAGATTCCTTTTAAAACCAGCAAGGAAACATCACACATATTTTTAAAGTGAGCTTCCCTTTCGTGGGGTGATGCTTAAACAAAGAGGGGTAGACAAACAACGTGTTCGCTTCCGGAGTGGACTGGCCAAACAAGATCTGGACTTTTTATTTACCACAAAACTCGTCATTCCAAAAAGTGTAAAGTCCATGAACTCAGGCAGTGAGTCACCTGTTCCACATTAATTTGGTCTGCTCAGAAAACGGCTTAAAAACATAGCTTCGCAGGAGCCCCCGGCAAAGGGAAACTAGAATACGGGTCCTGTTTTAGGGGGGGCTTTCTGATGGCACTTTCGTGTGATTTGTTGTTTTTGTTGACTGATGTTTCTCGCAAAGTTACCCTCAGGTGGTTGGTTCCGCTGGATTTTTCGTGCGCGACACTGGCCCTACGTGGATTCCGATTTCTCTCGTCTTCAGTTCCCGAGGCTCCGAGGTGCCGCGCTCGAGGACTCTGTGCCTTGTGCTGCGACCTGGGAGCGGAAGGCATCGAAATCCGGAAAAAGATCGCACCACGAAATGAAAAGCCACAAGGATCGAGGGGCAGCCAGGTTTCACGTGTCTCTCACCAATAGCTGTGAGAGGCAGCTATTGAAAAATAACCTTGAATTTCGCTCCAGGATCGAGTTGAAACCATGGCTCGTTGGTTGGTATTTACGTTGGTTGGAATCAAATCAGAAACCAGGATGGTGGTGCGAAATGGATTTCGGCCAGCCACCGTATGGAACGACATGGTGGGGTATCCTTCTTTTGAGGGTACCCGTTTTTGAATTGCTTGGGTTGGTTGTAAAATTGGACACGCATTTGTAGGTAAGCCTCAGTTGCCCAAAGGACCCAAAACTAACAGGTTAACCTTTTGGCACCTCTACTAAAAATGGCTCCCAACATGGGAAAACCCAAAGGTCAGATCCGGTCGATTCGCTTTGGACTGAGAAGCGGCAGCCATTTGTAGGTCTGTATGTGAAGAGACACAAAATTACTAGGCTGGAATTAGAACCCCAGCATTCTTTTTTGCCTGGTCAGTGGAAAACAAAGGGAACCCCAAAAAAGCAAAAAGCAAAAAGGGGAGCTAATTCTGGGGAAGAAATGTAAAAGACACACATTGCGATCAGAACTCCTAGGGACGGCGAAACGGTTCCAATAGAAACCTTCCGAACTGGATTTCGATTGGAATGGGCTTGGTGGTATCTATTGGCGGTTTTTTTTGTTGGATTTGAAAATTTGATTGGTATCTCTTCGATTTGGAATGGATCTTCGGTTGGATTGGTGGTTTGGCCAGGTTTCGATTGGAAGCCGTTGGCTTGTTTTTTGAGGCCCTCCCCCAGGCTACATGGATGCTCGCCTGGGAAGACTTGGTTCCATCTACACTCATGTCAGTGTGAGGGAGGTGTTTTTGGGAAACCACCCGCAACGTCAACACCCAACCAGAGGGTAGCTCAACAATACCAATTCCAAAAGCACCGCATCGCGACCACTCCTACGGTGAAGAGTGTCTGTTGATGGCACAAATGGAACGCACACAGGAGCCGCTGATAAACAAGTGAGTCTGTCGGTTGTAAAATCAATTTGGTGTGTTCCCTCATATGCTTCCAACAAAAATGTACCATAGACTACCCAGTTTCCACCCGCATGGTTATATAGCATAGATACGTAGTCGAACGCAACAAACATGGCCAATGGGGTTTTGGGCGCTGCTCCTAGCATGGAGAAACCCCCGCATGCGAAAATGAATGTAACAAGTCAACACAAAACACTAGACACACCAAAACCAGCAAACTTGAAGCTAAATCAGCCAAGTGTTTTTTCGGCATTGCCCAATGGATATTGTTGGAACCGGATCCATGCACCAACATGGAACCCTCGAGAAAAGGCCTATAAAATCCAACTGACTTCAAGGGCAATCAGGGTCCATGTTGAGTGGTTCAGAGCAGCCCTTGGCGGCTTCAAACTACAGATCATTGGACAATACTTTAGTTGCCCAAAGGACCCAGAAAATTGAAGGTTGAGCTGCTGGGCCGTGACTAGAAATGGACCAAAACCGGGAAACCAAAAGGTGAAATCAGCCTTGGGCAAGTGAGATACTGATCTAAACCGTTTGTGCTCTCTGTCTCAACTGGCTTGGAAAAAAGTCCAGAGCGCCTTCTGGGCACCCGGCGAACGGACTACTGGAATATGCCATAAGATGCACACCAGTTTCCACCTGAGTTCCGGGCTGCAAACTCTGCCACTTAGTCTTCCTTTTGCTTATTTGCCCCCTGGAAGAAACAAATCACTTTTCCAGTTGTGATAGATTAGATCCCTTTTTGACCAGCAGCGGAAAACAAACATGTGTATTAAGCAAATGGAAGTAGCTGGAACTCCTTCCACGTGATCCAGGCATTTTTTTCTGGGTAGAACACCTTCTTCGGTGAATGTAGGCTTGCACCCAATAATTTGCAGTCACAATCAAAACCGATCGGACTGAAATTGCCCGATCCGTCCAAATCCATCCAAAGAACGAAACAGGCGGCAAAGGCACCCATGTATGGTTGCGACTGTCCGTACCCTCATCTACCGGGGTTTTTGTGGGATGCCCTTTCAAAAACAATCCAAACACGGCCACCACGAACAACAGGACACACGGAAGGCCACTCACCACTCAAGCTTGCTGCATGGCAAACGTTTCATGGTCACCAGCATAGGGGCTTAACGGCCGCTTGCGGCTTCTTAGTTGGCTGGTCGGTCCTACCCGCTATGAGAACAGGTACTTCAATCAAATGCTCAGATTTCCGGCTGCAGACTTTAGAGCCCCCGAAAAAGAACGGTTTGTTGCTTGTTCAAACCATAACCTGATGAACAGCAAAAAAAGACAAGAGGTAAGCCCAGCCCGGCAATGATGACAAACAGCGAAATGCGCGAACAGAAACAAACGGTCCCTTCCTGCAATTGCAGTTGTTGCCCCCCCTCGTCTTCTGCTAACTCCACCCAAGCAACAAAAACAAATGTGAGAACCGTGTGAGGTATCGGTTTTGCTATCGCTAACAAACTTTGATCCCAACAAAGGTGTACCGCCACATGGTCGAACAAACCAACAGGTTCCAAAGTTTGAAACAGAGCAACGGCCAATATTCACTGCCATCTACTGTAAGGGATGGCACGGTTCACACTCACCAACCATACCCTTGGGAAATAGGAGGTTTACTCACCATCTCAATGAGGCATGGAACCTGCTATTTGCTCGTCTTCTCGTTTCTTAACATATATACTGCCCAAACAAACCTGGGCTGCCCTCAGATCCCCTGCTGAACGCTTAACTTCTAGTGGGTTAAACGGAAATCCCCACTAGACCCCAAAAAGCTAAGGAACCGGATGGCTGGGAGCCACCAAGAAACATGGAACCCGAAAAGCCACGATTACCGGCATCTCCTTGTGGGGCTCAGAGCCATCCAGATTTGAGAGGTTAGAATAAGGCTACCAACTTATCTTCGTCTATTTTAGTTGGGTCCCGAAGCCTCCCAACCAAGAAAGTTGGTCTTCTGGAGTCTATCTTAGTCACAGCGAGATCTTAGGAAGGGGAACCCTCCCAACCCCAAAAAAGTGGGTCAGAAAGCGCCCCAGTTGCCGGGGGACCTTTGGAGTTCCGTTCCCCCTTCCGGGCGCGATCCGGATCGATGTCACCTCGTGAAACCCGCGGAGCCCCAGGAAGCCGAAGATCGGAAAGGAAGTTCCAGCGAACAGCGAGCCAACAGCACCAATGGGGGTGCCTGGACCAGCAAAAACTGCCCATAAAACATAGAATCACCAAAACAAACCCCAAACTTTTCGGGGGCGATAACCCATTGTTGAGGAATTCTGAGGGTTCAGGTGAATCTCTTTTTGAGGCTCACTGCCCCGCTTGTTGTCGTTTTGGAGGGAACCGGATTCGCGCTGTTCGGCGCGAGACCTATTTTCCGCGAACGCTCAAAGCCGGAGCCGTCTCAACCCAGGGGTTTCCGTTTGGACCTGGTGATCTATTCTTCTTTCAAGTGACCCTGTGGATATCAATATGGCGTTGCTTCTTAAAACGCCAATTTTGAGGAGGTGCCCCAGAAAACACTCGTCTGTTAGGCTGGACTAAGAAATCATCGCGAAACCAATTGGCCGCCTTGGCATTCCCATGTGCATGGTCACTTCTTAAATGGATGGGCACGGGCATGGTCAAAACAGCACTTGGTTTACCACTATAACATTATCAAATCACAAAAAGCTGCACTTCAGCCCGAAACGGAACTCGGGGAGTGAGACAAAACACCACGGAATCTCGGAAACACACAAGCTGGTGGAGAAATCTCCCGTTTCGGGCTCCAACCTTGGAGATTCCGCAACTTGTATGGAAGGCGTTTCGCAGCCTGGTACTGAAAGCTAGGTGTGCGCATCTCGCGCGGTCAGAGGGGCATCCAAAAGCAGCCCGGTGAGACAAAGTGCCCTCACTTGCATGAATGACCTGGAAAGCTGTTCCTTGCGGCTGGCTGCTTTCTTACTCGCAGTGCACCTGGAAAAATAAGGGCGATCACCTTTTGGGCCAATGTAAATAACTCCTTTTAGAAACACTTTGAAGAAGCACCAGCCAGGGTTTGGCCAACCCTTGACTTAGGGAGTAACAGCCTTGATTAATTAAGACGAACCCCAAGTGGTGAGGTAAAGGGAAACCATCCAAGTTGCTTGCCTTTGATACCCAATGATCGGTGAAGTGGTCCACTCGATTCGCTTTCAAGTGAGTGCACTTGGCGATGGCTCCCGTCAGTCAGGAGGGCCGCAGGAAAGCCTCGGAAGGCGGCAGCAGAAAGCCCGTGCAGGTGTTGCTCCTATTAACCCAAGTGCTTCCAGTTGCGGCTACTGTGGAGAAATCCTGCAGTTTGGCTGAGGCCCTATGAGTAGTGGAACAAGTTTGCGATTCACCATGTACCAACGCGTGCAGGATTTTGTCCATCTACAGCAGGCAAAGGGATACCGCCATGCAAGAAAACCTATAGCCTTCTCCGTCGGCCCTCAACAGCCACCAGCCGTAAGAGTAAGGGCCGCAGCAATCCATTCTTTCATTTGCTTGTTCGTCCCTGGAGACAATAACGATATGTCCAGCAGTGAAATCGATTCCCTTCAAAAACTAAATTTAATTTCAAGCATGGCACGGCAGAAATTGAGCTTCTGAATTTCTGCAGGGGCATCAAGGCAACTCATGACATGACTCTAGGCGCACCTGGAAGGGCGAAAAATTGATTGTTCCAAATCAAGCCTGGTCTGCTTAGATCAAACGCTTTGGCCCACACGAAGCTCTTACATAATACTTGGCTGTCTTTTTTACAGGACTCCCAACATGGCGTTCCTTTCGGTTTCCCTTTAAAACAAACAATGGGGTACCCTCCAAAAAGACGGTCACCCAGTTTGCTTCCATGCTCAGCATGGCAATGACCTATTTTCATAGGCTTTGGACCGAAAGCATCTAAAAGGATCGTAAGCAAAGGTGCCAGTACCTCGAGTTTGACAAACAAGGGCTCCCTTGACTTTGTATGGCGACAGCGACCCGTGTCCGAAAAGCTGAACCTTTTGTTGCTTGCCTTGGGTGTTTGATTCACCAAGCCAGTGAGTTGTTGGTGACAATTCGGAAGGAACCCACTTACTTGGGTGCTGTAGATCCCCCGGCAAAAAGTTTAACTTTTTACCTGTTAATTAAAAGGAAATATGAAGGGGATCCAAAAAGTTAAAGTCTAAAGATCCAACCCAATAGCGGCAGAGCTTATAAGCCCCTCGCTGGAGTTCATCGCCCTGCTTTTAGTGGGTCCTCAAGTGGCTACGTCAGCTGCCCTATGCTGCCCTCCAGCAGCCCAAGCATACATCCTACACCGACCTCGGCTGCGATACAAGGGAATTCTCGAAATCAGTGGTCAGTTGGTACAAACAAAAGTATGTTCTGACTGGCCCAAGTGTATCCGTGGAAAAACCAAAAAAACGCTTAAGCCAGTCAGAACCACTTCCCGGTATGAACAATAAATTCCTACCCAAAGCCACGTCAAACATCAAGAGGGCGTATATCCGCACCCATTTATGCTTGGGACTTTGCCCTCAATCTTCGCTTTGGGTTTTAACTAGGTCCTCCAGATTTAAGAGGCTAGAATAAGGGTACCCTGTGTTCTGTAGACTATTTTAGTAGGGTCCCGAACCTGCCAACCAAAAGAAGTGAAAGAGCACTACTGGGGGACCTAGACATTAGTTAAAGGCTGAGGGCGTGTAGGTCCAAAAAAAAGCCCATGGCCATTTTGGACCCCGTTCCCATAATTAAGCCATCACTAGCGGTTACTTATCCCATGAACTAGGGGTTCATACACTCTCACGTCCACTCACTTTCGATCGAGAGGATGGACCAAAAGAAGTAACCAAACTTCCGGTATACCACTAAAATGCTCGAAGCCAAAATAAGTCTCAAGTCCAGAAACCCGGGTGAGTCCAGAAACACGGAGCCCATTTCCCAGCCGACCTCGGGCGCCGCGTAGGTGAGGTTGCCCACGGAGCTCCTGCCCTGAAGGCTCGTTGAGATTCTGGGGCCTGTTAAAAACCATCCAAAACCAAAACAAAAAGCAAACGCACCATGCTCGTTTTGTGTGCGGCAATTTTAAAAATCTTCCAAAACCCCAAAACCCCAAAACCAAAAACCAGAAGAAACGCAACTTGCTCTTTTTGTGTGTGGCCTCTTTGAAAGTCATCCAAAACCCGAAAACCGAAAACCAGAAGAAACGCAACATGCTCTTCCCCGGTGCGCGCAACCCGGCCACGCTAAACTGACAAATCTGTTCAAAGGGTTTTTTAACTGAGTGTTGTCATATGAACCCTAAATTGTTGGCACATTGGCCAACCAAATCCTAGTGGCAAAACACTCAAGAGCCCACACAATTGGAAGAGGCTTGATGGCTTCTTTAAAGCTTAAGGTGTGTATAGTTAACAAAGCCGCTTGCCACTATGGTAAGCGGGGGAAGCCTTCGTCAAAAATAAGGTTTAAACAACAGTGGTAACTAGTGGTCTGATTGCCCGCATTTCACCCAGGGACACCCCCCGTAGTCAACCAGGGTGGTTCACCAATCTCCCCGAATCAACCCCCCGGTGTTAATGCGCCATTCGCCCGTGACACCAATTCTTCATTTGCCTAAGGCCCCTGGAAAGAACAAACTTATGCCAAGTAGTGATGGACTCCCTGAAGACCAGCAGGGGAAACATAAACAAACAACTCATTTCAGCAAATTCCAGAAAAATAACAAGAGTGAAACAAGCATGCGAGTTGTTGGATTTACCGAACGGTTCGATGGGTTCTTCACAAAGCATGCTTCGCTTGGGTTTGCCTAGTTCATTCATCCGGGAAAACTCGGTTGCTTTCTGCACCCCTGCTAAAAGTGACTAACTTTTCGTGGTTCAGTCCGGAAAACCCCTTAGTTGGATCAAAAAGTTCTTCAGTCAACTAACAGCCCTTGAAGCAAAATGCATCAAAGAAAGCCCCCTTCGCCCGGCTTTTTCCCCTCTTCAGCCCGCACGGAGAGGCCTGAGAGCCGGCTGCCCGAGGCCTAGGCGACCAGAAATCCCCAGCTGTTCATACTGTGGATGGCTGCGAAATCCGCTCGCACCACCGTTCAGAAGCCGTGGGGAAACCATAAGGTTTGTTGGTATTTACAGGTGAATCGAATCAGAAACCAGGGTTTCTTTAGGTGGTGCGAAATGGATTTCGTCCATCCACAGTAGGATCACCTGAGTGGATTTGCCCAACACGAAGACATGTTGCCCACTAAGAGGTAGCAAAATTGTTGAAATGCCCACCTCCCGGAACTGCGAACATGAAGCCGTCACCGAACCTGCCATGCCCCGAACCAGAACTCCCACGGGCAGCTCCTCTCAACTGCTCCCTCTTTGAAAGCAAATCTGGATACCCCCAGCTCCAAGTCCGGCTCCCTTCCAATCACCGGCCAGGAACACTTTTTCTTTACCACCCAAACGGTCGAAAACATTTAAAAGTTGAAAGTGCAGAAACTCAGGGAGTGACTGGTTTGTCAAAGGTTCATAGTCATAGAGTTTTGTCCATGTATCCAGGATTCGGTCCTTCCACATCTTTTGTTGCCTATTGAAAATGACCCGCGAATGGTAAAGTGTTATAAAGCTGCTATACCCCCCCCTCCGGGTGCATTTACAGGGGGGTGTCCGTTGTTTCTTGGGGTGGGGTCCCCGAAATGGGGGACTTGAGCTTGCCTTGCTGAGCTCTTCATAAGTGCAAACACATGGTATAACAACCTGCTTTGGGTTTCCCGGAGTTGCCATGGCCAAGGAATTCGACCGGATCCCAAACTCCCCCCCCCCCCCCCCCCCGGGTTCCTCCGAAGCCAAAAAAAACGACTGGGGCTCCTTGGTTGCTGTTGACCCCTCTGCAAGAAAGCTTCGTGGGTCCAATAGAAAATCCACAAAGCCTCCAACAAAGAAGTTAAAAGCCCGTAGAGATCCAGCCCCAATCGGCAAATACCTGCGTTGGACCAAATGTTTCGGTATGGGGTCTTGCCCCTGAAGGCCTGGAGAAAGTCCTCTCCAAACAAACTGGTCCGGTCCAGACAGTGTGGGGAGAAAATTATGAGCCAAAGCTACGGTCGGGAAATCTAGTGATCCCATGTTCCTCCCACGTGGCCCATCCTTTCGCCAGCTTTTGCCGGCTGGCGTCGTTGAATCCCGATATCCCCCTAACCCACTCCATATTTTCCTCAAACCAAAATTCCTGCGATGGCAAAAAAACGTTGGAGTCCAGTGCCCTTCTTGGACTTGTCTTGAAGGCCAAAGGGACACCACCACAGGTTTTTGGCGGGGCCGGCTTTAAGACCGGGCCAACTGATGCGGAACTTAGAATGAACCGCAGACTTTGAATGAATGACAGAGCCGTCCTGCAGCTAAGTGGCTCCCCAGACAGCGCCTGGTAATTGGTCTCCACCGGGGTGACACTGCGGACCAAACCTTCCGGTGCATGAACCATCCGGAAAAGACGTGATGTAGCTGCGTGTATTGCATGCAATTGAAACTCTATATATATATATATATAGATGCATGCATATAAGCGCGTAACATTTGGCAGGTTCTCGCAACGGGACAAACAAAAACAAGCAACTAACACCAGGATATTCCAGCCCTGGTGGGGGTAGGATTGCTTTCGTTGGCGTGTTGCTCTTTGCCTTTTTGGCAATGATGCACGGCATTGGCTGGTTATTGCTACGGACCAAGACAACAACTCACTTCCCGGGTGGACCGGCCAAACAAGTCCAGGAACTGTTCCACTCTGGTCTTTCCAAAAGCTTTAAAGTCCATGAACAAATTTCATGAAATTAAGCTAAAGTATCGAAATTGAAGTTGATTTTGGATTCAATTAGCAATTCCTATGGTTGTTCTCTGCATTAGGTGTTTGTGTTCGGCAAATATTGGATTCTTAGTAGATGTTTTCACAAATTCAATCAACTAGAAACAATGCATAGCCGCTATAGCCTTGATAGGAAACGCTTCCAAAGGCTGTTTCAATAGAGTTGAAAAGGCATGTAGCTGGAACAATATGAATTGGCTTGCATTTGGATGCAAATTGAACGTCCCCTGCAACACCGTAAGAGTGTTACAGGCACGTGAAATCTGTGGAAGCGTACTTTGCGTACTACTCTGATACTGAAAAGTTGCGCTTTCTATGCTTTCTGAGCTGGAGCTACCAACGCGTACTTCGATTACAACAAGTCGATGAGGTTCAAGATTCCAGACATCGCTTCCTGGCTGAGATTCAAGATTCAAGATGCTGGAAAACGACGTATGGGGAATCGTGACCCTCACTTACCTCAAGTGGTTTTGAGGTTGGTGTTGGGAGGAGAGGTTACACATCTATACAATTATATATATATATATATGGTCAGGCCCCCCCCATGAACTACCTTTCCTTCTTTCTTCATAAGATGACTGCAAGATACACATACATATATATATATATATATGTAGTAACATATGTATCTATGATTATCTATGTATCATTATATATGGCTCCGCCACGGCCCCTAAAACATGGTGAATCGTTTAGCTTCTTGGTGCAAAACCTGCTGGTGCCCAGTAGGGAACCACCAAGTTTGAGTGTTGGGAATGAGCCGTTTTTTTTGGATTCCCGAAGAAAGCAAACGATGGTTTTTCGTGGGGTCATTCCATGTCTCATTCCCATGATTAGAGTTAGGCCCAGTTCTCGAACGTATACTGTAGTGTTTGCTTCACTTTGAGTCACTAACATGTAAAATGTATCCTAAGTCTACCCCAGTTTGCCTATCGAACCAGCAGGAAAGAACTGTGCGAAGAGGCCGTGCTAAGCCGCGCACCTTGGCTGCTGGTGGCCGGAGGAGTGGCTTGTCCTCAGAATTCGACCGATGCCGGCGCTCCGCCCTCCGGCGCCCTTGTCCTTTGTGGCACGGATCACTGGAGTCCCCTTGATTGACGTTAGAAGGGGATCAAAAAATTAAACTTGAGCAGCTAAGTGGGGATTTCCCGCCAAACTGCAATAAGCAAAAATGTAAGATGTTTCCTCACGATAACCATGTCCCCCTGAAAGGCTGCCTATTTAGAGAGGTTAGAAGAAGTTGGTACCCGGTTTTGTTTTTCTCCTTTTTGTCGATTTTCGTAGGGCAACCCAAAACCTCGAAAAAGAAACGGTACAAAGGGCCCTGCCAAGGAAACCTAGTTGCAATTCACCGGTTCCATTGCAACGATCGATCTCCACTTTTGGAGGTTCCCAAGGTGCAGGAAGGACATCCTTTGAGCAGGCCGGCAAACTGGGAGGCGGAATAGAACAACTCCTTACTGAAAGGGGAACCACCCCCGGTCAGCTGGCAACCAAAGAACTTGTCTGTTGCATTCTCACCCGTTTCTTCGCAAAACTTGCTATGGTGGAAAAGACTTGTTTGCAGCCCCCGCACCAGCAACTCTTGCTGAGTGGCCTGGCCAAACAGAGTCCAAGCTGCTTGTTTGCACCCAAACGGTCTTCGAAGTTTATAAAGTTAATGAACTCAGCAAGTGAGACAATGAACAGAACCAAACAACACACATTTGTGAAACAAACGAGTTGACCAAAGGACCACCATATCAAGAGTTAAGCTTTAGGGGCCTTGACGAAAGCAAAGCAAAGGGGAAACCTAAACCTCCGCTTGCCTAAAGTCTCCTGCACAAAAAGAACAAACATGTCCAGTACAAACAGAAGTCCCTTTAAACCAACAGGGGGTACAAAATCACACTTTTCGTTGCCATAAGAATGGCCCAAAAACCCGAATCGAAACTCAGGGAGCGAGAGGTTCGGCCAAAGCTTTGGGCATAGTATCGTAGGTGTCTTCTTGGGAAACAAAATGCCAAACTGACACCTCGAAAGGACACGTAAAAAAAAAAAAAGCCTAAAAATATAAACCAACCAAGCCAATCCAGAGTCCTTGTTTTTTGCAGCCCCCGAGTAAACACGAACAGAACCAACAAAATAACAAACCCAAAAACTTGATCCAAGAACAGCTTACTAGCCCAAAGGACCTGGACATAGAAGGTGATCTCCTTTTGGGGCCTAGAAGGTGATCACCTTTTGGGGCCTTCACCAAAATTGGGTACCAAAAAGGACACCAAAAGGGCATTTCAGGTGGTCTTTGGGCAAGTGAGACGGTGAAGTGAGTCTATTTGCATCCAAACCCTCCATTTGCTTTAGTCCCCTGGAAGAAAATAAACATACTTCCAATAGTGAAATTGATTCCCTTTAAAACCAATCAGGGGAAAATCAACACAACATGGCTGTGGGTCAAAGATAGGTACCCAGAAAGGCACCCTGGTAAATGGAAACACTGACTAAAACCTGTGGTCCAATTCCTGGTTCAATTTTGACGCATACCCACATTCCTTTTTCAGCGAATGGAAGAAACCCACCGATGGAAAACACCACCGAAGCTTCAAACGCGGCCAGGGCGCCGCTGCGCCGCTCCGGCCGGGCCTCGGCTTCCTCCTGCGAGCTGCGAGTCGACGGGGTCGGCGCGAGACGTTCGGGGCGTTTGGAAGGACAGGGGGTGGTATCTCATATTTTCGCGGATTTGAGGAATCTGTAATTGACGAATCCCCAAGGGAACCAAACCCAAAGCCGCAAATATGGGGTACTTATAGGACTTTTCTGGGCTGGGGGGTTCCATTGAAACGATTGGAGGTTCCAATGAAGGAGCTCAGGTCCATGTTGATCTCAAAAGGGAAACTAGAAGGTTAAAAGGTCGATTCGCTCTGGGCAAGTGCGTAATCCGCCTTACCGGAAAGACCCGGACATAGACTACCATCGGTAGCTTCGAGCCCGGCTCCTTCTTCAAAAGCAGATCTGGATACCAGCTCCCTGATGGTTCCTTTCCAAACACTTAGTAGGTGATTGCCCCTCCACTAGCAGGACTTCTGACAATGGAGTTTGGAGCCTTTTTTGGTCGGTGAAAAAAGAAACCCAACCATTCTAGATACCCACCACTTTGCTCACTTCCTGACTGGACTGGCCAAAACAAGTTGTATTTTCATATTTCATGTACCGCTGAAATGCTCATGCCAAGAAGACTGCCGCCCATGAACTCAGGGAGTGAGTTTGACCCCCCCCCTTTTGGTTTTGCCTCAAACAAATGCTTGGCTTCCCAAGGGTCCAGCTGACGAGCAGACACGCCCAATGGCTCAAACGAATGCACACAGCACCTTGGATGGGTTACCAAAGACTAGAACCTGCGGTTTGCCCATGCTTAGACCACCCAAACAGGCAGGTCTAAAGCAATCAGAATACACCCAACCAATACATTTCGCACACATGTCTGGGCTGTCCATTATTGGAGATCCATCTTCCAGCTGGCGGCTTTTGCCACTTTCCAACCCAAACTATCTATGGCAGCAAACAAAAATCAGTTTCTTGGAAGCCCCCCCGCCACGAACAAAGAACAGGACCCAAAAACCAAAAACACATGCCAACAACAGTCACTAGGTCCTCCAGTAGCGAGGTTAGAATAAGGGTACCAATTTTTGTCTGTAGTCTATTTTAGTAGGGGAACCCTCGCCCAAAAAAGTTGGTAAAAGGGCACCTAGCTGGGGGACCTAGTCATTCTGCCCTCTCGAACATGTCCTCCCCAGCTGCGAGCTCTCTCTCAAGCTGCTCGCGCCTCAGAACGGCGAAAGGGCGCGCTTGGTATCTCCCCTAGCTCACTGGAATTAGGACCCCAGCAAAAAAGCTGTTTTTTGCCTGGTGAGTGGAAAACAAACATTAGGAACCCCCAAAAAAGCCAAACAACAAATAAAAAAGTGGAACAACATCTGGGGAGAATGGGAGTGGTGGGGACCCTACGGGGTAAAAGCCAACCTCGCCCGAGCCTTCCGTAGGCCGTTTCCCAATGGCAAGCCTTTGGGTCTCCCAGTTCCATGTGTCCAGCATTACCCTCCCCATAGAGAAAATGGGTGGCCAAGACTGGATTTCCAAGGGCCACTCCTCCAATTCCATTTCTTTTTGGAGCGGGGATGGCTTGGTGGAACCAGTTGATCAAACAGCCTCCCGATTCTCTTCTTTTAATGCTTGCAAGGGTCGAGATCGCGAAGCGACGTGTGGACATGCGTCCTGGTCTTGAAAAATCAACTAACCACCAAACCCTAAAAAAACAAAAAAAAACTAAGGGGATGGCTGGGAGAAGATTCCCCACCCCAATTTTGAGGCAAACCAGTCGTGCGTGTCTGACATGGTTGAGTTTTTTTATGTTTGAAACATAAGTGCAACCATTCATGCGGCGGCAAACTCCCATGTGCGGCAAGCACCAAGTGATGTTCAACGGGGAAATTTGGGGAAGATCGAATCTGACCTGCCGGCCTGCCGGGTACACTGGTTAAGCAGGTTCACCTGTTTGCGCCTTGACATGAAGGAAGCAGTTCAATCAGTGTCTTTCCAACCAGTTCAACGAATCCGACAAAAGTCGTACACAGGGTTTCCCATAGTTCGGCGTGTAGTTTGAACACCGGGCTTGGCGGAAGGAAACCAACCAAAACATCTGCAACTTCCAAAAGAATTCTTACCGAACTCTGATACTCTCTTCCCGAGTGGACCGGCCATTGATTTCCCACTCAAACCCAACTGACGAAAAAGCCCCGGAACTCCAGCTGTGAGGCGCCGCCTTAGGGGAGACCAAAAAAGTGCTTCCTAGGTCCTCCAGAGAGGTCAGAAGAAGGGTACCCGTTTTTCTGCCGTCTCTTTTAGTAGGGGAACCCTCCCCAAAAAAGGGTTAAAGGGGGACCTTCATCATGGCAAGCTGGTTTTCATTTCGACTCCCGGGCCAGGGTGCTGGTACTCCAAGCGCAGCTGCCGCACATGGTGCTTACACCTGGCGATCCGCGCTCCGACGAAGCTGCGGGTTTTCCATGTGGATGGTTGCCAGTCCTCCGCCTCGCGCACTGCTTTTTGGTAGCACCGGCGTCTGTCTGTAGGGTAAAGTGTTCGTGAAAAAAAGAAAGAGCTACCTGGTGATCCAGGTTGAAACCAGTATGTTGGTGGGTGGTTTGCACGGGAATGGTATCATTCCGTTGGGTTTCTGAATGGTGGTGCGAAATGGCTTTCGTCCATCGACAGTAGGAACAGTTTTGCCGGGTTCTAACTTGCTCCCCTGCAATATACACAGAACTGACAGTGCACTTTCAAGGGGGCCGTTCATTTTCCAAGATCAGATGTGCAAAATACAACCCTGGCTGCCTGAATATGTCGTCTGCCATCCTAGATACCAACCCGAGTGGTGACCTACCTCAACAGGAGACGCCCTGATTTGTTTCGCAACCTCAAGCAAATCACACTCTCCAATTCCTGAGTGGACTGGCCAAGCAAGGTCTGAACTTGTTACTTTTAACTGGAATGGCCTTTCCAAAACGATCAACGTCCATGAACCAGGGAGTGAATGCAGGAGGACCCTTGCCAATCAGATTTAGCAAGATGCCAGAATCGAAGCCTCACACCCCAAGCTTCGGGGTGGTGGGGTGGGGCAAATGCGGCAGGTGGGGGCCGGTGGGGTTGGTGGGGTTGGTGGGGTTGGTGCGGGTTGGTGGGGTGGGGGTTGGTGGGGTGGGGGTGGGTGGGTGGTGGGGTTGGCGTTCAGGGTCAACTAAAAGGGAGCACCTGGAATCCCAACAAGTCAGAGACAGCTCCGCATCGAGAAACGCCGGCCTCTCATACTTGTTGTAGTGCCTGAGCTGAGCGTTGGCTTGCTCTCGTGAGAGCCCTTCCGTCGATCTAACTAGCCGTTTGAGTCACTTGCAACTGCAAGAACTGGACAAAGTATCAGTTTGGGACCTTGACGAAATATCTGAGCAAATCACTTCAGTCAAAAGTGAGGAATCCCTAATTGAAGCACCCTTCTTCATCCCGGGGCGATTTGCCGGGGTGTGCTCGTTTTGGTGTTGTCATCTACCCGCATTTCGCGGTGCCAGCGGGTAAACCCTCCGTTTGCTTGTGCCCCCCGCACGGGGAAAAACACCAACACCACGAAAACACACATGAGCAGCGCCCGGCACCTGCTGACTTTTGTTGCCACCAAACATGGTGACACTGTGGATGTGCACACTTTGAGAGGCCATGGTTCAAACCACTGTTTATTCCCACAAAAGAGGCCCTTTGGCCCAAAGTCGAGGGCCACGAGGATGGTGCACGGGCTGAACGCCAGAAACATGTTTCATATGGGTGGTGCCTTTCATATGTCGACTTTAGACGTATGTTTAGCTTAGCTGGTTCCGGGTTAGATGTTTCGCCCTGGTTATGAACCATCCAGAAGGGACAAACATGTGCTCACACGCCTGTTTAATATGGCATGCGCGGGTCACCACTCTTGAAATCACTTGGCTTCTGTTTGCTTCTCCATGTAAACCTTTTCTGTTGATGGACAAAGTCCTGCAACACCTTAGAAAACCCTGGTTTGTGATGCTTCCCCAACGTGAATACCTATGTGGGAATCATTCTTGACTTTTCAGGGCCTGGAAGGCTAAATGTCCGGCTTTAACCTACCCTAGTGAATTTCAAACGACTCCAAACGAACCCTCACAACTGGGCTGCGCTCAGATCCCCTGCTACAAGTTTAACTTTTGGGTTAAGCGGAAATCCAAACCCTAAAAAGCTAAGAAGCTAAGGAACCGGATAATCCCCTCTAAGCCCTAAGAAGATCTAAAAAGCCAAGTTGAACCGGAGGGCTCTCCCAGATTTTCCGCTTCCTTGCGCGCCGCATTCGCCGCTCCCTCGAGCCTTCCCCCGGGATCCGAGTGGTTCGAAACGCCAATTAGGCGGCCGCGGGGCAGCAGGGCGGTGACGAGGCAGATCAAGGGCAAGGCCACCCCGAAGAAGCACACGAAGCCGATGAAGGCCTGGCGAGCCAAACCAAGCTGCAAGCTAGAACCAACCAGTGGATCCAGCGAAAGCTCCGTCCAAGCCCCCCGAAATGACCTGAAAACATGGGATATTGCAACCCAAACCCCCCCGAAATGACCTGAAAACATAGGATATTGCAACCCAACATTCTGGGGGTGACCCCCCTTTTTCATGGGTAGTTTGAGGCTCACCCAGCGGTCTAGGGCCACACCAGGGCCCTCGATGTTTTTTGGAGCAAACCAACCAAAAAGGACACCTATGTGAGATGTAAAATCACCAACGGGAATATTCTAGGGGTAGCTTCCTTTTCCATTCTGAACCCAGGGATCCCTGTTTATTTCCAGACAACCTCCAGAAACCCAGTTGGAAAACGGCGATCGGTTTTGAAAAAAACGATGATTGAAAAGAAAGGGGAATCAACCGCTGGAAGTGCCCCCCCCGAAATTGCCTTAAACATAGGATATTGCAACCCACAAATATGGGGTGAATCCCCCTTCTTCATGGGTAGTTTGAGGGTCCAGGTTTCTGTTTGCCTCCCAAATCTGTTTGCCTCCAAAATGGTCATAAAACCAAACTGACCAAAAGAGGCCTGAATCACTTACGTCTCTTGGGTTCAAAGTTTGTCTGGTTGACCGATTCCCCAAGGGCGGGGGGGGGGGGGGAATTTGTTGGGACACATTCCCTCGAGGTTCAGAAAGCCGAACAAGGGGTCCACATGTCTCTTTCCAAGCGAAAGATTAAATTGCAAAGCCCGGAAAACGCACCACACCCCTCTGGGGCCGCAAGCCAAACTCTGGGCTCTCTGAATTTCTCCGTACAACACCAAAGGAATCTCATCCAAAAGAAGTCAAATAGGTGATGCTTAAATGGGCTGAAAAATGGACTAGGCACCCGGAAAAAAGTTGGGGGAAGGCGTGAAATGGGCCCGCTGGCACATAAACTCCAAATCTGCATCTGGTGTTTCCGGCTCTTGCTGAGATGACACAGTTGATGAATATATAATACGTCTATTGAAGGTAAACAGGAGACGTTACCCCTGCATAATGTGAAAAAGCCATGGCTTCCTTTTGGCTTCTATCAACCCAATGGCAGATCCTCCCTTTATTGGTTTGCGAAGTAAAAAGAGGGAGGACACTAAATAGGATCTTAAGTTTGTGCATTCAAGCATCTTTCCTTTGAAGGAACCCACGTGCCTTACTTCCCGAGTGGATTGGCTTGAAAAAGTCGAACTTTGCTATCTACAACTTAAAGCAGTCTTCCAAAACAGTCTGAAGTGCACTGAGAAAAAGTGAGCATTGGCACGTAGTTGCTGGGCGTCACAAAAAGCAAGTGTCCATCTCTTTAGGTGCCATATTCAGGGAAATGAACCTGTGTGGGTTACTGGCCACATGTCAGCGGACTTTGCATTTGATGCTTAGCTCACACTTCCACCAAAGGGCAAAAAAACACATTCTATCTGCGTACGCATCCCGGAAGCATCAACCTATTGCCAGTAGTGGTAGACCCCTTTTAAAACAAACAGGAAAATAACAGAAATATCCTATGCAAAAAGAAGTCAAACTCCAAATATGTAACCAAACAGTTGTTAATCGAGCATCCCCATGACAAAAAACATAATGCCCACCAAACAAAGACTGACTTCCATTTGCTGGATATCATTTGAACCCATAAGCCCGTCATGGTATGTTCCCAACAAGTACAAATCATACCAAGGCCTAAATAATGAGAATAGGGCCTTTGGGTGTTTTTAAACCACATTTCCTCATGATTGTCGGGCTAGCACCAAGCAATTTATGTTAACCCCGGATTAATAACCCCCTAGTTGATTAATACGGGGGTGTCCCCTTTTAGTGGGGATTCATCACTTTTGGAGGGAACACCCCCCTAGTAATGGGACGGGTGTATTAATCCTGGGTCAACATTATCCAGGCCCCGACCTTACCCAGTTCGCAAATGCTGGATCTTTTGGTTCCACAAGGTCTAAGGAGATAAGGTCACACCAAAGGAGAAGCCATGTAGCGACGCTCAAGCAATCTCACTTCCGATCGAGTGGATTGGCCAAACAAAGTCCAGGAACTTGTGAACCACTGCAATTCCCGTTAACTTCAAGTAACTTAGGCCACAATGCTTTTGTAAGCAACAACTCACCACAACATCCCAAAAACCACCAGCAAATGGAACAATTGGCAGTTAACCACTAAAATGGTCCTAACCCAAAAAGCTACTTAAGAAACAAAGTCCAGGAACTTGACGTTGGAAGGGGGGCATTTTTTAGATTTTAGCAGTTAAGTGGTTGGATTTCAACCACTAAACCAGAACAAGCAAAAATACGTATTAAAAAAAAGAACACACAACAAGCAAAATACGAGAAAAAAAGAAGAACAAAAAAGAAGAAAAACAGTTTCCCCACAACAACCACCAAAACGGGTCCAAACCCACAGAGCCAAAAACGTCCCACACGGGACTCGGGAAGTCAGCCGTCTGAGCCGCAACTTTTTGCAGCGATCCGGCCCTGCGCGGCTGTACGAGAACTCGCCTGAGTGGAGTGGTAAGGGTTGCACTCCATGCCTAACAAAAGGGGAAAAGAAAACGGTTGTAGACATAGGTGGCCTTTTGGAAAAATATGATGGCCCTGGTAAATGGAATAAACCCCATCTAAACCAGGGCCCTCTGTTTTGCAAGCAAACCAACCAAAAAGGACACCTATAGTTGTAGACTTGATTGCTCTTGCTTCCTTTGCAAAGCATGTATATTTTTTGTGGGTAAAACATGTTCTGAACATGTTGTTCTAGGGGTTGCTTCCTTTTCCATTCCTTCCAACCATCGGTCTTTTCGAAAACCGGATCCGTTTCCCCTGGGTTTCCGGAGGTTTTCAAGAAGGATCCCTGGAAAGAATGGGGAAGGTAGCACTAGAGTTCTAGACTTGGTTGCCGTTTGCTTCCATTGCAAAAATAACATAGTTGTTGTGAGTCAAACAGAACATCCACCGTTTCAATCACAAAGTTCATTACCAAATGTCCATAAAGTAGTTAGAAATCTCCTTTTCAGGACGCCCCAGGAAACTTTCTTGGGTATCCATGGTGATTTGCAGAGGGGATTCCCACCCAGGAAAGCCGGTCAGTGGCCCTGGTAGACAAAGGCCGCCCATTCTTTGGGGTTGGACCCGAAATATGTTTAGCCCCCCCAAAAAAGGCATTCGCACCATCATCTTTGGGGCAAGAAAGGATTTAAGGGAATTTTGAGTGGGGTGATTATCTTCTTCCAATTGCTTGTTTGCCCCCTGCAAAAAATGAGAACATTTGTCCAGTAGTGGTAGGTTCCTTTAAAACCAACGAGGGGAAAGAAGACAGATTCTGAAGCAAATGGATCCTTTTAGCGCGCAAGACATCAAGCAACAGGAAAAATAACCACATGGTGCCCACATTGGAGCAAACAACTACAACACCCTCCGTATCAACATATTGGAAACGTCACATGTCCTCTAGAACCCTGTCAAGTTCCATGCTGGTGGGAGGGCCAATTCACAGTGCACATTACAAATAATTATATACCCTCTACCCCGGGTCGCACTAGCACCAAGGTCATTCAGCAGCTGGCTTACCATCTAACTTAGACGTCTTTTCTTGATGTGGGTATGAGTCAAAATAAACCCACCAGGGGACCGCAGGTTTTAGTCTTTGGTTCCATTTATCAGGGTTCCATTTTGGGGTTACCGCAATTTTGACCCACAGCTATGTGTGGCCGGTTTCTTAAGATCTCCAAACCACCCAAGCGGTTCAAAGGTTCGCAAAGGCCGCGCTGTGTCAAGCGCACTCGAAGCCGAAGCTTGGGGAGGCGCCGAAGTTTTCCGGTTCTTGGGAAAAGACTCATCCCATGTGTCCTTTTTGGAACATGCATAACATCTCTACTCTTGGTCTGGTAGCGAAAAACTGACTGATTTTTGCAGACCCCCAGGAAAAATGAACAGAACCAAAAAACTAAAAAACCAGAAAACATGCCAAGAACAGTGAAGATAAGGTTTCCCTAAATGGGGGCGACTGAAACGTGTCTAAACCTGTGGGTTGCGAAATCCATTTCGCACCACCTAAGAATCCCTGGTGCAAAGGATTTCCCTGTTTTCTACCAAACTATGGCCGGTTTTCTTCCATGGATTCGAAGTGGTGCCTAAGAGGATTTCCTCCACACCTCACTTGCTGAGTGGATGGCCCAAAAAAAGTTCAAACTTTATATATACCACTAAAATGGTCCAAACCCAAAAAGTTTTTAAAGTTCATGAACTCAGGAAGTGAGACACACAGTACGACCCATCCGCCATCGGATGCTTTGAGGGCACTCTTCGAAACGGGCGAGTTGCGGCCGGGGAGCTTTGGACACAAACCCTGCTTCCCGAAAGGCGAGCCTCCATGTGCTTAAGTCCCCTGAATATATATATATATATATATATTTCTATATATGTATATTCCCAGTAGTGAAATCGATTCCCCTTAAAACCAACAGGGGAAAATAAAACAGATTCTCAACCACATGGAAGCAATACATTGGTGAAGGCAACACACTAAAGGTAATTCTGCTATCTAACCTTACCCTGGCACAAAGCTCAAAGATCATTTAAAAAAACAGGTTTCCGACTAATAGAAAGACTGTAGCCCAAAACCAAAGCGCTTTTCTTTGCCAGTTTTTTTTTCTGTTTTTATCAAAGCCAAGGCGTGTTTTCTTGATCAACAGGAAGGTTTAACTTGAAGTCTTGCGGCTAGGCCGGTTTCGAACAGGCTCCTCACGTCTGAGTTGGTGACCAGCGTGTGCCAGCGTGTGCCACAAGGCATGCATTTGCAAATGAAATGGACACGTGGCTAGCGCAGTTTCTCCAAGTGTCTGTGTGTTTCGTTCTCTTTCAAAGGTAAGGAGAGGTTCCCTAAGAAAAATCGGGGATTGGGGAACATGTTCTCATGCTGTCTGGACAAGGCCCTTCCAAGGTGTCGCAACTTTGAATCAAGCACTTCTGGGAAAGGAATCTTCTGCGAATTCGACAATATTGACAATACTTCCGAGCCTGAAACAAGAAAGGGATCCTGGGATCCCCAAGGAAGGTTATCTCTCGCTTTGCCCGGAATCTGTTAGCTCGAAAACCATAAATTGGGCAGAAGGGTTTTTGTTTTTGCCGGTACCATTTCGAAACTGGTTTTAAGGGAAACCACAAGACATATTTTGACACATTTCCAAGCCAACTTGCATACCCCAACGGGATTATTCATGGGCTGTACAGGGTGCAAAGCCCAAAATCCATCCCTATAAGCTGCCAATTGATGGGATATGTCCATTTGGGGCTTCAAATCAAGGCCCTTCGAACATACCCAAATAGCGTGACTCCAACAGGCCGAGGGCAGTGCGGTCCAACCCCTTGGCTGGACCTGGCGAAAAATTTCGCGGTCATCGCTCACTTGCACGGACTGGATCGGATCACTCGGCCTTGGCCTGGCTCGCTCGAAATCGCGGGCGAAAATCCCTTCGAGGTCGGCGAGTTTCAAGACGGAGTTCTTCACACCAAGGGGACGCTTCAAGATGGATTTCTTGAGACCCAGGGGTTCACTCAAGAACTGGGATCACTCAAAGCCCGAATCGAGAACTGGGATCACAAATCCCCATGAGCCAAACACATCGCCCATTGCTAGCATTCAACTTGCAAAGGTCGGTCCCACACCCGAAATGGCTGGGGACCTTCCGGATTCTGTAGTCTTGCCCGGGCTCCCATGTGGACAAAGGGGTGCGGCACAAAAGCAAAATATCCGAGAAGCTGAACCCCTGTTGGTGGGCAGAAGAAGAACCCAAACGGAAGCGAGTTATGTTTCCAGAGGTTGATTCCCCATGCTTTTCCACAACCGGCAAAAGAAGGAATTCAGGAGGTTCTATCAAAATCAGGAAACATGGAAAGAATGATTCGGGAACACTGGGAAAAAGGGGTGCGGCACAAAAGGAAAATGTCTAGGAAGCTGAACCCCTTTTGGTTGGCAGAATGAAAGCCAAAAGGAAGCCAACCAGACACTTAGGAACCATTTTGGACGGCTTTTGGGCCGAAGTCACTTCCTGAGTGGACTGGCCAAAAATGGTCCAGGAACTTTTCTTAAGTCCATCAATGGAAGCTTGCTAAACCTAGGATTGAAGTGTTCTTTTAGGCTAACCCCTGAATGTTTCGGAGTTTAAGGCAACAGAACACTGGAGTCCATTTTGAATGGGATTCCGCCTATTCGACACGTACCAACTCATTGTTCAGTGTCAAGGCCAAACCTGTGAGATGTTGCCAAACGTTGCCCCAATTCTGGTCGTGACAAGCCATTACGCCATTTCAATACTTGAAAGCGCCGGGTTGGCATTTGACAGGGGCCGTTCCCAAAAACGTGAAGGACCCCCTCTAGAATGGGACAAACCTGTCAATCAACCTGGGTTTCATATTTCATCTGGGTACCACATTTGTCTCAGAACGGCCCTTGTGTGTTACTCACTTGACAAAACATGAAACCCTGATCAAACATGAAGCAAAATCAAGCGAAAGCCAAAAGCTCCCATCAGCTCTACTGGGTGAGTTTGACTGTCTCACTTCTGATCGAGTGGGGCAAAAACAACGCAACCAAACTGTAGCTGTTTACCAACTAAAATGGTCCAAACCCACACAGTGACTAAAGTCCGATTCGGAACTTAAATGACACAAAGGTCCTACTGGTGGACAAAATCCTGCAATCCATTCATAGGGCTTCTTTTGTTCCAACCGATGCAGAAGATCGCCCAGCCGTATCAAATTCCTTCACCACCTAGAGCTAGAAAAGATGCCGCCCTATATGGGTGTTTTTTGAGGGTACCCTTTTTGGTTGGTTTTAAATAGAACCCCCAAAGAAAATCAACTTTTGAGAGGGCTCCCCTAAAAAAAACATACTCATGATAAACCACCTATAAGCTGGTGTAGGATTACGTCCAGGCACAGTATCAATCTGGGAAAAACGCAGGGATTCTTACATTATACACCTGAACATTGCCTTGTAAATGGTGGTTTCCCTTTAGTTTGGTGGAAAAAGCCATGTTTCAATTGGGCAAAATGTATCTTTTCAGGAGCCCTGAAACATTTTGGTTCATTCACCAACCGAACCTTTTTTTGAGGCCATGTTTGAGCCCTATGAAAGAAGCCTCCGTCAAGTCAGACGGAGACGGGTTTTGCCGGACCCTGTGACGTGAGAGGCGTGCACCGCGTCTTCTTTGTTTTGCCCAGAAAAACATAAAACACACTGGATTTCTGCAAGCCCCCCTGACCAAAGGTCTGCCCTATTTGTAGTTTTAACTTGGAACATTTTGATCGAAGGTGCTGGGAGAGGCTTCTTTATGGCTTCTTTCATTCCATCCGATGCAAACATTATTCCCGTATTGAACTTTCTTCACTCAGGAAAATGGCCGGCCTTAGTGATAAACCGCCTATGAACTGGTGGATTTTGTGCATACATCACATCTCTACTCTTGGTATGGTAGCGAAAAACTGACAGTTTTTTGCAGACCCCCAGTAAAAATGAACAGAACCAAACAAACTAAAAACCGAAAAACTTGATCCAAGAACAGTGAAGATCAATCTGGGCAATGTGTTGATGCACCAACCGACTTTCTTCGCTCTGGGAGTTCTGAAGGCCTCTACGTGGACAAGCTCCTCCAGTGCCTTCTGTGCATCCTCTGGCGCACAGTTCAGGCGATACCTTAGCTCCCCCGCCAAACGAACGGTCTCTAACTTCAAATTGTTGCACGTCTTCCCTGCACAAGGGAAACATGGAAATGCTGCTAACGCTATACATCACATATATATATATATATATACAATCCACGGGCCGCTCTCTGCTCCTCAATTGCATTTTGCTAAGGGTGGGGGATTGCCCCCTCCTTTCTTTTAGCTGAAAAAGGGCCCAAAAAGAAAATCAGGCTTTCTGAGCTGAGCACTTGTCTCACGCCAAGAACAGGATACGGGCGGTAAACCAAGAACGAGCACTGGTAGTTCAGTGGGTTTTCCTTGTTGCCTTCCTTGCTCCGACAATCCGACCGGCACAAAGGACTAATGTTACGGGAAAAGGATATACTAAGTTGCCCCGAACGGGAACCGGAAATAATTTTGGTGATCACCTT